GCCAGCTAGCTAACCAGCTAGCCAGCTAGCTATCCATCTAGCTAGCTAGCTAGCTAGCTAGCTAGCTAGCTAGCGATAGAGAAGTTGAAAAATCTATCGCCAGGCTGCTCGGACTAAAACGAAATCATTTTCGCCTTCGAGTTCACTAAAAAGAGAATAAAACTCCGCCTGCAGACAAAGACAAATAAATATAAATATTTTATTTTGTGGTTTCTTATTTATTATTTATATATATTTTTGTTTAGTTATTTTGTATATAAGTAACTAAATAATAAATAAATAGAAGTAAACTGCTTTATGTACAAAAAAAGAAAAAAGAAAAAAACACAGCAACAACAGAAAAGACAACGGAGACAAACTGCTGGCGACGAGAAACGACAACAAAAACAGCAGCAGCAGCAACAGCAGCAGCACCACCAGCAGCAGCAACAGCAGCAGCAACAGCAGCAACAGCAGCAACAGCAACAGCAGCAGCAGCAGCAACAACAACACCAGCTGCATCAGCAACAACGCAAGCCGTAGCAGTAGCAGCAGCAACAACAACACAAGCAGTAGCACCAACAACAACAACAACAACAACAGCAACAGCAGTAGCTGCAGCAGCAGCAGCAGCAGCAGCAACTGCAGCAGCAGCAGCAGCAGCAGCTCACGTTGCTTTTGTCTACAAGACAATTGCTAAGATATTCATCGGGGGCCCCCAACTCCTCCACCTTCAGCCCGGCCTGCCGCAAACTGCATGCAGACACAGCAGCAGCAGCAGCAGCAGCAGCAGCAGCAGCATGAGCATCAGCAGCAGCAGCAGCAGCAGCATAAACAAAAGAACGAACATAACAACAAAACAAACGAAGCCAACAGCAAAACCAAAACAAAAAAACAGAAACAAAACACCAACAGAAACAAGAGGAAACAGAACACACAGAAAAAAAAAGCAGCAGCAGCAGCAGCAGGAGCAGCAGGAGCAGCAGCAGCAGGAGCAGCAGCAGCAGGAGCAGCAGGAGCAGCAGCAGCAAGAGCAACAGCAGCAGCAGGAGCAGCAGGAGCAGGAGCAACAGCAGGAGCAGGAGCAGCAGCAGCAGC